AAGGGATAAAGGGATAAAGTCCTTTAGAGTTGTTCAACCCCGTCTAAGGGGAGCGCCCCCGCATTTGACTTCCATTCAGAACCGTAGTGACATATGCTCCGAACTGAATGCGTATGTTGCCAATACAATGACTTGCGACGGCTAGTCAATGAACAAATCAGTGCCATCCCCAAATGAGTCTAGTGCCAGACAACCGGCCGCGCCACTTGCCACTACACCACCTCAGATTATTTCTTGCGAAGCTCCAAAAACTCCTTTAGGAATGGTTACGAAGTTTACCTCAGTGCTTAGAACACACTCAAGCCTAGGGGTAAACTAACTGTTCGGTGAGAGCACAACACAAAGGTACTGAAATCGTTGTGAAGTCTTGTTTATATTGAAGTTCCTAGATGTCAGGTTTCGCGGAGCGCACTGTAGATTGTAGGAGCCTGAGGTGCCACATACAACATCAAGCTTATACCGCTGTGGAACAGAACTTGTTTGGCTTTGGCTAGATTTTGATGGTTTTGCTGACTTTGTAAACTTAAATGGCGATGCACTTGAAGCATGTAGAAGAAACTTGAAGTAGAAAGTATCCGGTAAGTGCTGCATAACTCAGTCGCCACGTTGAAAATTGCCTCAGAAAACTAGTTTTCACATCCATGTAGTAAAGATTTAGTGGTAATTATGCTCAGGAGCGTCTTACGAAAAAAACGGCCGCAATTGCCTCCCAAGTAAATTTCAATGAAGTACCGCCTTCAGCTCTCAACATCTTATTCCTGAGTTGAACTGTTACATAAAAAATATCATTGCAGTACCTAAAGTTTAATTGGAAACTAGCTACGAAGCCTGAACTGGGCGCTAGGGCGTCTCCCACATCTGTTTGGAATTCTCGCTGAAACGGCAACAGTCGTGGAACCGTTCCCTCACTAGCGCCAAGTCTTGTGCAGTGTTTCTAAACTTCATTCCCAAATCTTGAGCGGCTGCACAGGTACGCATATGGAAACCTATAGAAAACTTTGATGAGGCCAAATTCTTTTCTACTTCCAAAGGCACAGTGTACGGTAAAAATTACTTCTGAAATCACCCATTAAGATGAACCCAGACCCCCAAATATAGCACAAAGGGCGCATCGGGTCGAGAAACGGCCTAGTCAGGGCGTAACAAGAATTCCGGAACCGGCTTAGTCGAAGTACACATTCAAGAGACGAGATGTAGAGGCTGTAGAGTTGCCACATTCACACGCTGGACACAGGCGCTTACTGTAGCTAACGGTGCTCAACGGCACACACATTCTGACAGCTCGTCCAATTATCTACTCCAGACAACCTTTGTGCTAACATTCCCGTTTAACCCGTGAATTTACTACTTTTTTGAAGCCTTATATTTCTCTGAAACGCCTTTTTTCACATTTTCGTTATTATTTTCGCACAATTCTGAACTACGGTAACCCAGAATTATCGTGAACTAGGCTTTTAAAGAAATGAGGGCCATGTTTCCGCAACGTATGGAAAAGTTCTCAACGATTACTCAGCGGCATCAATCACTGAATTCAATTCCTTAACACAATATAAATATTTATATTTTATATTTTTTATATATTTTTATATTTATTTATTATTATTATTATTATTTTATTATTTATATTTTTATATTTGATATTTTTTCGTGAATCGAATCTCTTTCTAGTACGCATCATGTGTGGTTCAGAGCCCGATGTAGTGTTTTTCTTCTAAGCAACATTTTAATCAGGACAAAATGAGACACAACAAATAGTTATAAATGGCGGACAAGGACGATGACCATGTTTGGATTATCTTGCTGCACTAGACATTTACCGTTGCTTACAATTCTGTTACCAAGTACAGCATATTTTCGATGTAGGGTTCATGCACGAAGATTTTATTGTATCCGAACATATCTCTATGCGAAATCCTCAACGTTTCCTTGGAGGCTGTCTACGCCTGCCGGAGGACTCTTTACAAACCTCTTTCTAATCATTCCCATTTCCTTGATCTTGTTTTTGTGATTTTTTTTCACCTGCGACCCAATTCGAATAGTCAAGGGCTTTTCGGTTTGCGGATTGCTTGAAATCTTAATTCTTAGTGAAGGGTCGTAGTGTGGATAATTCAATACCGTAAGCAGTTTTCGGCGGATTGATGAGGTGGCGAGTGGCACACTATCCAATTCGAATAGTCAAGGGTTCGAATCCAAGATCGATCTCCGCCCGCACTCTTCGACTTTTCAATAGCCGTGAAGACTGGAGTGTCTATGAAAAAGTAATAGCAGTAACTTTTTGACTGCCGTCGTGAAGCAATATCTCTATTCCACGACCGTGAAAATGTTGTGGGAGGGGCCACGGCACCATGCTTTGCCTCTGTGGCGCCAATTGTTAGAGTCAAAGGTAGGGTTAGGCACGTGTTTTGAGGTCCGCAATGATTTTAAGAAACGATTCTGAGCTAAGGAGGAAGGCTTGTCCTGGATCTGAACCGAGGAAAAAAACGGGGCGAATGAGATGGTGACTTCATGCGATAAGTTGGAATGGGAGAGGAATTGGCCAGTAGGTGGTATGCTGTCTCACTGACACGGCGCAGACAAAGAAGTGAAGAGCCCTAACTACGTCTTTAATGACAAGACGGATTTTAAAGCCCCGGGAATGTATTATACAATAACACGAGGGCACACTCAAGCGCTTCCAAACACTCGTCACATATACCTATACTTATACTTGTACGGCTCGTCTCCACTCATGTGCGAGCACCAGCAACAAAACATTCGCTTCTGTCTTTCGCGATCGCCATCCAAGGTAGACTCAGAATTCGACGAAGAAGACGATGTGAGGAGTCGTTCAGCTGCTGTCGCAGCTGTTTCACGTCATCCACAAGCGCATCCCCCCATCTCGCAGCAGGCCTATCCTTAGATCGTGAAGATCCTATGGGAGCCTACTCGACTGTTCTTCTTGTCCATCTGTCCTAATCTCTTCTCATTATATGACCGGCCCACCGAGATTTTGCGTTCTTCATGTATTCCACCGGATCGCGGAGTCGAGACATTCTGCGCATATCGGAGTTGCGGAGTCCGGCTCGATACTGAGTGAGCCGATTGAACCTCAAAAGACATCGCTCGAGCGCTCTGTGACTTGTGCTCAAAGCCCTTGACATGGATGAACTGGTCACCCAAGTCTCCAATCCGTAACAGAGCGCAGGAAGAACTGTGGGATCGAACAGATTAACGCGAAGTTCCTGGCCAGCCAGATGGTTGGTGACCTGTTTCAGATTTGCGAAGGCTGCCCACGCTGCTTTCTGCAGCCTCGCCAGTTCTTCTCTCATATTCTTGCCCATATTCATGGAACGCCAGGGATAAATGTAGCACGGGGTCCTCTTGATAGGTGGACCATCGATAGTTTGTCACATATACGACGCAACCAAAAGGTACCTTGGGAGGGCCTGGGGTTGTGTTGGGGCAGTGGATAGGTTACTGTATTACGCAATCGCAGGGCTTTAAAATCTGATTTTTTTCACCATGGCACCCTATGACTACATTTTCACCGGGGAAGAGTCGAAGAAAACGTTTCTGGATTCTCATGTCGACTGTGGAAGGTACATTCATGGCACTAACTTTCCGTTGTCGGTATGGTCGACCAGCTGATAAACCCGTTTCCACGGAGGAACACCTCCGGAAACATGCAATTTCCAACAATAAGACGCATTCCCAAAACGAGACGCAACTCTAAGTTGTAATCGCCGACGTTTAAAAAAACCCCAAGAGACAATGCCGAAGTAAGTAACCACAAAGCCATTCACGGGGATCCATGTCTGAACGTTTCACGTGCAGTAAAACGTAATGCGTGCACCCGCCGCGATGCTCTTCTTATTCGACGCCTAATTTGGATTACTGTATACTGTGATCCGATCATATCGCTACATTCGTTTTATAAGTAATCCGTAGGAAGGCTTATGTCTTGAGAACCGCGATGATGGGAGATCACACCCGTTCATCTGAACCATCTGATGTAACTATTCTATGGAATAGGGCAAAATAAGTGCATCGGCTAATGGTTTTATAAGTTTTAGGGGTTATCTTGGGTTTGCCTCGTTTTCCCCACTTGTGCATTACCCCGAGCCCGTGCCACCATCTTCCGGTTGCCGGTTTTTTCTCAAGTCTGCATTGGAACTGGGTTGTAATGTGATGAATAGTTCAAGATGATCGTGTTGACGTACCTATTTTTCAATGCGGGCCCTGCTTATAAGCTTGTAAAATACTTGTAGAACCACAGATGATTGTTAGAGGAATTAGGGATTAGACAGTTGACTCAAGAGTTAGGTAGTTGTCGCAGGAAACTCGGTTTTTAATTAAGGGAATGTAGGTTTAGTAACGGGTTTTGCGCAGTATCTCTAGCGCGGAGCGATATTCGCCGCTGTTGCTCTCAAACCTGTTCTCAAACGGTTCCGGTTTTACTTGTCCTAGCCGAATGTATAGTTCAGTTTGATCAGAATGTTGTTTTTGCTCCTTGCTATTTATTTATTCTTTGAAAATTCATCCTTTCCAATTTGGTACTGCTGCCCTTAACACAACTTTGCAGTTTTCTTGACATGTTGTTGTCTTTTTTGGAACTATCCGAAGGAAAAACGATATTCTAATCACTTCTTGTCTATTTGCCATAATGGCTGAACGTCCTGCTGAGTTGAATGTCGATGTCGACGTTCCACAAGCGAACCAACAGCAAAATCGTAATGGTGAAGCAAGAGCTCAAGCACAGGTATGGTTACATCATCTACTCAGTTCTTCTTGTCCTTTATATATTTTATTTCTTTTTAATACAATGCATTTTGCTNTTTTCTTTAGAATAATACCCAGTTTGGGGTTGTACGCGATCGATTATTTCATGCAATGTTGGTCAAAGTTGCGCTCAGTTATAGCTCACATGTGAGCATATTTTGGCGACGAGTTATCGAGTTCATTTCGTTGTTAATAGTAAGTTTTCCCACTTAAAACTTTTGCAATTCAATCCTTTAACAAACAATTTGCAGGCTTTGTGCTTGTTATTCACTTTATTATTTGTTCATTTGATGTTCACCCGTTCATCAGCTACATGTCTTGATCATATACGGGATACATGGCCAAGGGATGGTAAGTGACTTTAGTCGAAGATTTTGAGCTTTGCCCAGACATTATCGTATGCCATTTTGCATTTATCTTGCGAAATCTTTCTGCTTTCTTTCCACGACAGTTTCTCTCACTCAATTCTGTCCCTTTCGAGCAATCTTCTCTTTTGTTGACCACAGTTTCGTAACGTGTTGCGATAGGTAAATGGCCTAAATGGTAAATTGCATTTTATACCGGTCGCGATACTCATTTTGGACTGGAACGCATATGACAAACGCAAAAACGTCTCTAGTTTTTGTACCTTTTTATATCCCTGCATGGAGTTTATGTATAAGTCAGCTGGAGGGGATCATTCGTCGAGATACTCACTATCGTTAAAATCAAATGCTGGAAAACGTGTGTTACATAGCCGACAACAAGAACGCTTTGAGATAAGTATGACTCTGCAAGTCCCCTATCCCATCGTGTTCCTACAATCACAATCATTGACATAAGCTCTTTTGATGGTAATGTAACTTTGCTCGGCCATAGTAAAACACAATGGATCATAGTAATCCTCTCCAACATCAAGATATCATCGTGAGAACATCGAATATTAGATAGTGGATCATCGAGTGAAGTTAACGCTGTTATACCAATGTGCTTCATCAACATTAGCCATAGTCTTCACTTGTCAAATTTCAATCACCCTTGAGCTGCAACTTC